AGTGTGTGCATTGAGACCCTAAGAGCAGTGGAGCTTTTACAGAATTGGGACTTAAAGTTCACGGCATGTTATAAAAAGAAAATTACCGTATTTTCCCCTCTATAACACGCAGATTTTTTCTCCTAAAAAGTAAGGGCAAATGTCTGTGCGTGTTATTGAGCGAATGTGTGGTCCCTGGAGCCGACAGGCGCGAGTGAAGGCAAAAATCAGGCAAATATCAATCGTCCGGAGAAGGGAAGCCTTGAAAAGAGGAAGCTGCTGCTTTCCTGCATTCTGCCTCAGGGTCTTACTGCCCACCTGCTTCTGTTTGTTACTGTGTTTGCTCGAACGGAACAAAGAGCAGAGAAAACCCCTACCCTCCAGGCAAGCAGAGGGGAAAGCAGAGCGTCCTTCCTTCTAATTCCTCTTGTGCTCCGGTGCTGCAACATGCAGGTGGGGGAGAGAGAGAGAGCTGGCTGGCTTGGGTGGGTGCGTGGGGGGAACTTTTGCCTTCCTTTCCTCCCTCCGGTAAAACCCCTCTCCTGCATTCTTAGCCAGCTGCTTCTCCGCACACCCCTCTCGGTGCTCCTTGTCCCTTCTATGTTTTTCCTTCCCTCCCCAATTAAAACGTGGTTACGAAGCACGGATCCACATGGATCCTCAGGATCTTTGCATTGGGTCACCCCAAATTCACCATCAGATCACATAGCAATAATCTGATGCAAAAACAGGGCTGCAATGGTGCAAAAACGTGGTTACAAAGCACGGATCCACATGGATCCTCAGGATCTTTGCATTGGGTCACCCCAAATTCACCATCAGATCACATAGCATGTCCATGGCTACAGCCTGCACCAAAAAAATCACGCACCCACTGTTGCCTGGGGCTGCAATGGTGCAAAAACGTGGTTACAAAGCACAGATCCACATGGATTCTCAGGATCTTTGCATTGGGCTACCCCAAACTCACCGTCAAATCACATGTCTGTGGCCACAGCATGAAGCACAAAAATGATACATCCACTGTTTCATTCAGAATTTTTTCCCCTTGTTTTCCTCCTCTAAAAACTATGTGCGTGTTATGGTCAGGTGCGTGTTATCGAGCGAAAAATACGGTATATTAAAATAATGTACCAATGGTATTAAAAAGGGTAAAGGTAAAGGGACCTCTGACCATTAGGTCCAGTCGTGGCCGACTCTGGGGTTGCGGCGCTCATCTCGCTTTATTGACCAAGGGAGCCGGCATACAGCTTCCGGGTCATGTGGCCAGCATGACTAAGCTGCTTCTGGTGAACCAGAGCAGCGCATGGAAACGCTGTTTACCTTCCCGCCGGAGTGGTTCCTATTTATCTACTTGCACTTTGACGTGCTTTCGAACAGCTAGGTTGGCAGGAGCAGGGACCGAGCAACGGGAGCTCACCCCGTCGCAGGGATTCGAACCGCCGACCATCTGATCGGCAAGTCCTAGGCTCTATGGTTTAACCCACAGCGCCACCCGTGTCCCAATACAATGGTATTTAACTCCTAGTAAATTAGCAAAAATGTATAAAACATGCTCAAATGTATGCTGGAAATGTAGGGAAAAAGAAGGCACCTTTTATGATATGTGGTGGAATTATAAGGAAGTAAAAGGATTTTGGGAAATGATGTATAATGAGTTGAAAATTGTTTAAAATAACCTTTGTTAAAAAGCCTAAAGCCTTCCTTTTAGGAATTCTAGGTGCTGAAATCCCAAAGGAGCAGAAAAGACTATTTCTGTATGTGACCACGGCTGCATGGATGTAACTGGCTCAGAGATGGAAAGAAGATAAAGTTCCTACCAGAAAAGAATGGCAGATGAAGTTAATGGACTATGCTGAAATGGCTAAAATGAACGGAAGAGTCAGAAATCAGGAAGACCAAAATTTTAATAAGGAATGGGGAAAGTTTATAACTTTTCTTAAAGACCATTGTAAACAGTTAAAATTGTTAGTAGGATTGGAATACCACTTGTAGTTTAATGGTGAATTTTGGACATAATGGAAGAGGTAAAGGGTTTGGATTATCATAAAAGATGCGGGAGGAATTGATTAATAATAGGATCCACAAAGGGGAGGATGGAAGTCCAGGAGATTTCTTGGATTTTTTTTGGGGGGGGGGGGTCATTTACTTAGAAACATTTAACTCCAAAGCATATTGCAGGCACAATGCTTCCCATCCAAATTGTAAGTGCAACAGGTAGCAGAAGGTTAACATTGTTTCTGTCCAGGTCAGTATTATGATCCGGACTGGGTGCCCCGGTGGGCAATTTGTGAAAGAAAAAGCTTGCACTCAACTGCAAACATTGTGATAAGTCTCACGTATTTTAGCCCTTAGAAGCAGCTACTGATCGATTGTATCAAAAGCTGATGACAGATCAAAGAGAGTAAGAATAGAAAGAGCTTTTTCCTTGGAAAAAAAGCACCTCTAGTTATAATATGTAAATGCAGATGGAATGCTTCATCGGAGGGAAAGACCAGTCTATGACGCACAATGTTGCTCGCTTCTTGGGCAAATAATTCCTGCTGCTTTTAGGAAAGTATAAGCAAATACTCTATCATATCTTGTCATGACAAGACACTGTGGTTTGTTAGAGCTTAATGGATACACGTTTGTTTTGTTTCAGTCTGTCAGATGTCTCTGCAGTTTTATTTTGATTTTTTTTTTAATGGCTAGTCACCAGTAAAAAAAAAACAAAAAACACAAATGGTGCAGATTTATTCATTAGTTAAAAGACACCTAATCAATTTTTTAAAAAAACCCACAAAACTTTAAGTGCCTCACAGCACAAATGCTCAGACGTGGAAGTGATCTGTTGGAGTGCTGGCATGGACCCATCCAACATAAAAGATTAATGCGTGCCTAATTCTGGGTTGGATTGTGGCCTGGGCCCATGCTGTAATGTGGAGGGAAGCCTTCAATAGCTCCCTCGGATAAGTTCAAATGATTTCTAGGATAAAAGCATAAAAAGGAAAGGATCAATAGGAACTGCAGGCAAAGCCATTAGTGTCAGAGATAATTTTTGTTTGCCTTTTCCACAAAACCCATGACATCATTCAAAGGGGGGTGGGAAAGTCTTTGTGGGACAATAAAACAACGCTAGAATAATGTAAATCTAAGCAAGGAGCATTTACGTCTGCATGTGATTGTGCTGCTGGTGGTTTTCTTTCCCAAGCGTGGTATCCAATAAAATCTTAGTACAAAAGGTTAAAGTACAAAGTTGCCTGTGTCACCAAGTGTCTTATTTAGGCGCTCTCATGGCAGTGTTATTTTAGAGTAGAGAAAATGCATTGTTCTCTCAACCCAGGAATGCCCTTTGTGCTGAGTGCTCCAGCTACTGACATGTACGCACTGCAGAATTTCAAAGGACATGAATTATCGGAGCACAGGGGCAGAAAGGGCCCTACAAATACGAAACCATCACAGCAACATCCTCTTTCAGATCATCACCTACCTCACACCGTAGTCACCCAAGCACCTTTGCCTCCACCTGTCTTGGGTGGTGTTGCGTTTCAGAAGAACAATTAATATTTCAAAGTGCATGCCGTGTCAAGGACAGGACTTAGGAACCAGTGGGTGGGTGACTGTATCAATTTTTTTTTTAAGTGCTTGAAAAAGCAGGGAACACAGAGTTTAAATTGATCTCTCTCCCTCTCTCACACATGTGCCTCTAAATCCCCTCATACCCTTTGAAATAATCTTTCATTTTAAACATTCAGCAGCCAGCCATTTCAAAGATGGGAAGATGAACTCTTCGTTTCTTTGTGTTTTCTTCGTCTTTTCAAATTAAGGAGTCCTTGAAATACAGAATGCTATTTTGGTGGATGCCATTGGAGAGGCTGTTTCCTGTTCACGTTCCCTCCTTCTCTCTGTGACTACTGCAGCAGTCAGGACTTTTGTATAGAAACATAGTTTCATCCATTAATCTATTCTTTCTTTCATCACCAACAACTTTTTAATCCACTAATAGCCCTGTCAGCCATTTCATGTGCCCCAGAAGACAAATGTGAAGGGTGTTATAGGAAAATCCTTGGGCTCACTTGGTGAAATATACTCAAGAGTCGAGTAGTAATTTCAATTTTTTTTAAAAAAAAGAATATTTATTCCAATTTTAAAGTTACAAAAAAAAAAATATAGAAAAAACAAACAAACCACAAACATCTTACAAAAAACAGACAGTAAAAAAGAAATAGAAAGACAAAAAATCACAGTAAAAAATGACAAAAATCAAATTTAGACCATTACAACCATCTTCCCATTTACTTGTTTCCATGACTTCCTCTCACCTCCCTGCTTTGTATTCTAGTTTAAATCGTATCTCCAGCAAATCCTTCTAACCTTCTTTTCTTTTACTTATTTTAACATTCGAAAGTATTTAATTCTCCTCTATCCTCATTTTACACTTCATATTTACTTATTCCATTATACCCTATCTGCCAATACGGTCTAATATTCTTCTCCGTAATTTCATGCTCTTTATTTCAGCTCATAGGAACAGTGATTGAATTTCCCCCCGAACCTCCGGCTTTATATACATTATTTACACAATGAGTAACGTCTGATTGGTTGATTATGTTTCCCTCCTGGAGCCTGATTGGGCTGCTGCTGCTGCTGCAGGCCAATCAGTTGTTGCATACTAGTATCCTACCGGCCTAATAGGCTGATTAACTTCCTCCTGGGGTCTGATTGGGCTGCTCCTGCAGGCCAATCAGGTGGTTGCATTCTAGGATCCTACTTGCCTATTGTTCTAGGATCCAAGCTTAGTACATAACACCTGGATTGCCAAAGACACCAGCCAGGAGTATAGGAGCAAAACAGCAGCCTGTAGGCCTGATCTTTATTCAAAGACTGTTGCAACAGGACTTCCACCCACCACATGGAAGAAGCCCAGAACAAGAGGATGTTCTTACTTTTATAAGTTTCCCCTTTCCCCCACAACACCTTTGGTGAAGCATCATGCATACATCATAGATACATCATACGTATGTCACAAACAGGGAGGGGTTTTCTGGCAGAAACCTGTTCATCAGGTTTGCCCCCAACCCTCCCTTGCCCTCCACCTTACACCCATCAAGTGATACAATAGAAATATCTACAAGTTCCTGGTTTTCCGGTCAGGTAAACACACTTCTTTGTCCTGACCAGGAGCACAGTCCATTCCTGGAGGGTCTGCTATTGTCTGTGGGATGGCTACCTGTCTGACACCCATCTGCTAGGATGCCAGTGATTATCTCTTGTGCAAGAGTGTACGTGATCCCAGGTTTCAGGGATTATGGCTCCCCACATCCCAGACTCCACACCTTGGTAGCCATTCCTTTCCTGAGCACAACAATGTTGGAATGGTGCAAATCCATACTGGAGTGATTTTATATGACTTTCGTAAGTTGTGGGGACATTTGCAGGAGTGATTGTGTTGATTTGGGAGGGGTATGATGTCTGCTGAAGGGGCAACCCCCCCAACCTTTACATAAATTCTGGTAACAAGGGGAAAGTGAGCGGACGCTCCAAGTGTCCTTATTTTCCAGGGACACCCCCAATTTAGAGAAGCCATCCCAGTTTCTGATTTGATCCTGGAATGTCCCACTTTTCCTTAGGTAAAGGTAAAGGGACCCCTGACCATTAGGTCCAGTCATGACCGACTCTGGGGTTGCGGCGCTCATCTCGCTTTACTGGCCGAGGGAGCCGGCATACAGCTTCCGGGTCATGTGGCCAGCATGACTAAGCCGCTTCTGGAGAACCAGAGCAGCACACGGAAACGCCATTTACCTTCCTGCCGGAGCGGTACCTATTTATCTACTTGCACTTTGAGGTGCTTTCGAACTGCTAGGTTGGCACGAGCAGGGACCGAGCAACGGGAGCTCACCCCATCATGGGGATTCGAACCGCCGACCTTCTGATCGGCAAGTCCTAGGCTCTGTGGTTTAACCCACAGCGCCACCTGCGTCCCACTTTTCCTTAGGATGTCTTTATTTTCATTGGAGAAGTGTCGGAGGGTATGGAGTTATCCGACCCCCGAGCCATCTGAAGGTAGTCCTGTATAGGGAAGTTTTTTAAATGCTTAATGCTTTATTATGGTTTTTATATAAGTTGGAAGCTGCCCAGAGTGGCTGGGGCAACCCAGTAAGATGTGTGGGCTATAATTAGTACAATTATCATGATGGAATGGGACATCGGAGAAATGTTGGAGGGTATGAAGAAAGCAGTTCACTGATTTTAAAAACGTGTATGGCTGAGAGCCCCTTTCTTCCCCCATACCCTCTGATCTTTAAGATAAAACATATGTAGCTAATGCGATTATTTTCCAACCCGTCTCTATGCAATACCAAAATACAGTGGCTCCTTATTTTTTCTAGCCGGCGCTGTTTTTATTCACAAGTCCTTGCCACAGAATCTAGTTCTTGTCCTGAAGGATTTCTGAAGCACGGCAAAGCGGCCAGTTGAAAATCTGACAGAATATTTACTGCACCAAGAAAAACTCAAGCCAATCAACTCCTCCCTTCTCATTTCCCTCCATTTCAAGGACTTTCCTCGTCTTTCCCCTTCAGCAATACCTGACATAGCTTAGAGAGAATGCCAGAAAGAATGACTATATGAAGAAGGAATTCTTGGTGCCTTGCAGCTCCCACCAACATATTTCCTGTTTCTTTGTCTGACTAGAATTTTTTTGAAAAAAAGGGGGGCACATTGCCTTAAATGTCAAGAGGAGGTTTGCCTGTGATTTTCTGACTCATTTCCTAGTTTCCTGTCCTCACATTCTTCCAAAGAATGTGAGTTGTCACCTTAAGCACACAGAGCCTTGACGCTTAACAGATCAATATTTTTAATGTAAAATAGCAGTGCAGAGAGGCTCCAGACCCTTTCAATGACTGGCTCATGCCCAGACAGTCATTGGATATTCAGCGACTCATTCTTTGCAGAACTCTGAATTCTAAAAATAGTCCCCAAACAAAATGATGCACTCATTAGAGCTTTACATCATGGTAGGAATTTTCTTTCGGCTTGTGTAGTTTCCTACTAACAAAGTAAGGAAAGGAATCTGGGAGGGGAGAGATAGCAGCTAAACTAAAGGTTTACTTTCAAAGGTTTCAGTAAGGTCAGAGCCTCATTTGAGAACGCATATCAAGTGATTTTCCATGTAGCAAGATGACTACTGACTGACACCTTCCCTTCTATGTGGGTTCATTGCTTGCAAACATTAAAAATACACACATTTGTAGCCAAATATGTTTGTGTTTGATAAAGTGATATGTATATGTGTGAGAGATGAGCGGTACTAATTTTCTAGGAAAAGAGATGCTCACTATGAACCCTTGTTCTCTTAGAAAGGCGCCCATTCTGAGTTCCCACTGGAGCCCTGGAGATTAGATGTGTATGAATGGCCCAAGTGTGTGTAATGCTAATAATAATAATAATAATAATAATAATAATAATAATAACAACAATAATGATTTTTATTTGTACCCCGCCCATCTGACTTCATTGCCCCAGTCAATCTGGGTGACTTCCAACAAATATAAAAGCATAATAAAACATCAAACATTAAAAACTTCCCTATACAGGGCTGCCTTCAGATGTCTTCTGAACGTTGTATAGTCATTTATCTCATTGACATCTGATGAGAGGGCGTTCCACAGTGTGGGTGCCACTACCGAGAAGGCCCTCTGCCTGATGGATGTCCTTTGGCCTCACCTACATGCATCCCCTGACCACTTTCCACCAAGGGAATGCATTCCAGACCTTCCATCTCCCAGAACCCGGCAAGCCTTAAAAGTAGGAGAGCAAAGAGCTCAAAGACAGAGGCCACTTAGTGGCACCCGTAGAAGTGATGAATGAGGAATTGGTAGAGATGGGTGTGTGTGGAGATTCACTTGGAACAATGCCATTATCCATGAAGAAGAAGAAGAGGAGTTTGGATTTGATATCCCGCTTTATCACCACCCTAAGGAGTCTCAAAGCAGCTAACATTCTCCTTTCCCTTCCTCCCCCACAACAAACTGTGAGGTGAGTGGGGCTGAGAGACTTCAAAGAAGTGTGACTAGCCCAAGGTCACCCAGTAGCTGCATGTGGAGGAGCGGAGACGCGAACCCGGTTCCCCAGATTACGAGACTACCGCTCTTAACCACTACACCACACTGGCTCTCAGTGTGGCTGGGTTCTATAGCCTCTCTCTATAAAGACTGGAATAAAAAAGGATGGGAAGAAACTTTTCCTTGCCTTTATAATTTCCTGGGCAACCAGCTGGGAGCTGAGGACAGCATCCTGACACACAGTAGACAAGGTGGTAAGGGCCCCTTGCACTCAGACACACCTGAAGTAATTAGGATTGGCACATGAACCAATTGCTTGGCCCCTGTGTGGACCAAAAAGCTCTTTTGACCTCCCCACGGTAGTCCCTCTGACCAACCCATCAGTTCTATTTTGCCTGATAGGCCAGCTCTCCCAGGTAGCATCACAGCATCCCTCATTACTGCTCTCCCTCCTGCCCCCAGCTGAGTGCCTAGTACCCCATGGCAACCGTATCCATTCCTTACAGCCCAGAAAAGCAGAGTGAGCAGGGAGAGGAAGGGCCATTGCCCCCAAGCCTGGCAAGCTCTCTGTCCCCTGCCACATCCTGACTCCAGTCAAAGCCACATCATACTAGGATGTGAGAAAGCAATTCCTACCTGCCACTCCCTAGCAACAAAGAAGCAATGCAAGTGTAAATATCAAACATTTTGTTGAGCATTGTCCAGGATGAAATAGCTTCCTAAATGGAAAGATATACGTGTGGGGCTGACAGCCAGTCATTCTAGCAGGGCCTTACTTATGACACCTATTCTGTGCTGCGTAGCTATACAGAACTTGCCAGGATTGAACAGCCTGTCTGAAACAAGAGTGTTTTCAATTCCACGAAGGAGCAGCCAGGTCACTGTGGGTGGTTATGGGATGGGCATCCCTCCTGGCTGTACAGAACAGGGTGTGGAAGGCATCCTATAGCTGCCTGAAAGCAGCCCATTGAGAACAAGGGGAGACGTACAGAAAGAATAATGTTCAATAGTCAGCAGCTGGAACACATTGTTTGTGAACCTGTAGGTACAGCAAGTATTTGTGAGGGAGAAGAGGGACTGGTTCCACCTGAATGCTTGACCAGTGATCCCAACATAACTTTACTGGGGGAGGAAGGGAGCACTTGAGTTTGTTTTCAAGTGTTTTGATATGTGATGTATGACATTCCGTGCAAGTAGATCAATAGGTACCGCGGTGGCAGGAAGGCAAACAGCATTTCCATGCGCTCTGGTTTCCGTCACAGTGTTCCGTTGCACCAGAAGTCATGCTGACCACACGACCCGGAAAGCTGTCTGTGGACAAACGCCGGCTCCCTTGGCCTGAAAGCGAGATGAGTGCCACAACCCCATAGTCGCCTTTGACTGGACTTAACTGTCCAGGGCTCCTTTACCTTTTCCCTTTACCTTATCATCTTTCTAAGCAAAGCTATCCCTAGTTGGAGTATGCTCCTTCATAGAAAACAGGTATCCATACACCATTTCTACATTCCCTAGCCTCACTTCCATGTTTAGGAGGTATAAAGTAGGGTTCCACACCAGATCTGGGTTGAAAAACCTTGATGAAACATACGGTTGTGAGCAGTGCGATTGTTCTAGGAAAAGAGGTGCCAGAACTCACCACGAACGTCTCCCTTGTTCTCTTATAATGGCAATGACGCCCAACTGAGAGGTGCTGGAACTGAGTTCTGATGAGTTCCAGCTGGTAAAAAAGCCCTGGTCGTGAGGGGTGGAGAGAATTAGAGGCATGAATCCTTCTGCTCCACCTCCCCCCATTTGTGCAATCTTGAATTGGTTCAGGGACCAATCTGGGTCGAACCTGGATCATCCAGGGGTGTTCCAAAGTGCTGGATTAAGCCTCAAATCAGATTGGGGTGGGCATGCACACCCACAGTATAAAGGTTGAGCGCAAATTCAGATCCCCGCTGAGGTGGGCAGGTTACTTTGTACTTCATTCATAAAGAGAGACTTGCTATGTATCACAAAACCCCCACAACCGGTTTTGCACTTGAGCTCTTCTTTCCTAGATAGTGGAGGGAGCTCAAGCCATACATAGAATATTTGAATCCAGACCTTGTTACATCTGCATGGCAAGTGGGACAGTAAACTTATAGAGATGTTCTAGAACAGGGATAAGGGACGCGGGTGGCACTGTGGTCTAAACCACAGAGCCTAGGACTTGCCGATCGGAAGATCAACAGTTCGAATCCCCGTGATGGGGGTGAGCTCCCATTGTTCGGTCCCAGCTCCTGCCCACCTAGCAGTTCAAAAGCACGGCAAGTGCAAGTAGATAAATAGGTATCACTTTGGCGGGAAGGTAAACAGCGTTTCCGTGTGCTGCTCTGGTTCGCCAGAAGCGGCTTAGTCATGCTGGCCACATGACCTGGAAGCTGTCTGTGGACAAACGCCAGCAACCTCGGCCTACAGAGCAAGATGAGCGCACAACCCCAGAGTTCTCTGCGACTGGACCTAATGGTCAGGGGTACCTTTACCTTTACCTAGAACAGGGATATGGAATCTGGGGACCTCCAGATGTTGTTCGACACCAACTTCCCTCAGCCCCAGTCAGCATAGCCAATGTTCTGGCATGATGGATGTTGTAATCTTGCCATTTTAGGAAAAAAGAAGGTTGTCAGACAGCTAATGTGGTTTAGAAGAGAAACGGGCAGAGATCTGCAAGCTACTAGAATAGATACTTGTGTAGCTATTTCAATTTGAAGAAACTAAAGATGCCCGAATATAGCATAAACAACAGGTTCAGCTGTTGATGGATGATCTATGGTGTGATTGTACTGAAATGGTGCTGTCCTGGTCAACATTTTACTTTCTTTTTGCCCAATTGTTTCTTCCTAATTCTTCCAATTTGCTGGTAACACACCTGTGAAGGTCTCCTGCCCTCACATGCATGTCAAGTTAGCCTCAGCACACCCCAAATTCCTTGATCATCAGGCTCCCAAAACGTGTCAGTGACTCTGAGTTGAAACTAAGGAAAAGATCTTTACTCAGCATTACAGGCTCGGCATCAAGCACAAAATTCAGAAGTCAAGATTCAAAGGTATCTACAATTCTGCTGCCTGGACACACATGAACACTCCATCTCTGAATCCAACTACGAAGGCAGCAATGGGTTCTAGGTGTCCTGTCCTTTGCCTCCAGCTCCATTGCTATCTCCTCCTGCTAAGTCCATCCCTCTGGCTGGTTGAGGTCCTCTTCCCTCCTTGATGAGCCTCAGTGCTCTGCAGGAGAGGCAGGGGAGAGGACCAGCAAATCAGCTTCCTCCTCTGTAACATCTGGAGACAGAAGGAAAGGAACCTCTCCTCTCCATCTCTGGTTGTCTGCCTTCCAGCCTTCCATCTGCTTCTTCTCCTCCTCCTCTTCTTGTATCTGGGGCCACCAAAGAATGCCAGGTTCTGACAGAGTCGAGCAGCCCATGTTTGGGGTGGAAATATTTGGGATGGAAAATAGGTTATTCATTTAAATTGCAAATTCCTTTTATGCTCTCGACCTCGTGGTACCCATGCTGTTGACTCTCCTTGTGACATGTCACTGCTGAAGGCGAAGGAAGTTCACATATGAAACCGTATCTCTTGACTGAGAAAGGCACACTTTGAAATACATCTCTGTCACACATCCCAGATTATAGCGGCTGCAGAGTTCTCCTTCTGTCTGAGATTTAGGAGGATAAAAATTAGCCAGATTTCTCAAGTAG